TTCAGAAGCACTGGATGAGTAGGCAAGTTGGAGTTATACCATTCTTATGATTTGTAAGGCTTTCTGTATCTTTTGAATGATGAATGCGCTTTCATTTGTTTGACTAGGTTTTCTCTGCTTCAATTGCTCTCTGACGTGCTTTCGAAAATAAGGGTTAATAAACACCATTAGTCTTTTACAATATTACAGGTCGTCGGTCGGTAACTTGAATAATCATATTGATAGAAAAGTCAGTTTCTAAAGGTTAAATTATTTTGTCTAATCGGGTCAGTAGGGTCCTCCAGCACACCCAGTTTGTCCTTGAGTTAGCTCATGGGTTAAAGGTAGAATCCCTCGTAGGGTTGTAGATGTCTCTTCCTTATGGTGGAACTCTAGATACTTAAGTTTCCTTCTTTATTTTATGGCCAACAGTTCAGTTGCTTTTTTCATTTATTTCTTAATCTACCTAATGAATTCTATCGGATATTTTTAAGAGCCATTACTTCCTGATGCACTACTTAGAGATTTCGCTCAGTCTACGAGGTATTTAACTGCATCTCCTTTAAAGATAACGGACAAGATTACTTAAATTTGAAGGAGTTATTAGTGGGTTGATTTTTTGTAGATACACTAACAAGCTAAGGTAGGTTGTGCACATGTTTGCTTTAAAAACAGAATTTAGTAGGCAAAATATTTGGTGCTTGTCTATTTGACTTGTTTAGGTTTTCAAGTCACTTACACGGCTTGGGGCTTGGCCCGAACCAAATATGTCTTGGTGTCAATTCAGCTCAGATATTTCACTACTTGGATTTGGAACGTATTTGACTGAGTGGGCATGCAATTTATTTATGCCTATTTCGATCCCGAGTCTCGTTCACGGAAAGCCAGCAGAAGTAACTGGTATTCCAAACACTGAATATGCTGCAACAAATGTCAAAGAATCAAATGTTTCGTTGGGGGATTTCAAATATCACACGGCGTGTCATTTGTGGAAATCTACTAATTAACTTCGACAGACACAACTAAACTCTAGTTTCGGCCTATTCGCAAGTTTCGCGACGGATGGCACACTTTAAAATCACACTAGTGGGTGCATAATATTGAAGCGAAGCTGGAAAAATGTGCAGACTAATTTGTTCACACCTTATTAACTTAGTCATATTTGTATTCTGAAAAGCCACCATCTTGCTCAATGTGCCAAAATATTCACAAAATATTATAAAGAGTTAATAAATTGGAATTATTTTTATTGAATGAAACTCCGGGTTAGTTGACTTTCGAGGGCTTAATTAAGATTACTTTAAACAGAATGAGAAAATCTGGAGGCCTCGTTGACGTCTGTTTGATGATCACAGTTAAAAAGTTGTGCCAAATTTAGGCCAAAAATCGGCCGTTTGCTCCCCTTTTAACATATATCAAGGGAGCAGTCGAAATAGCGAATTCATGATGGTTACATCAATTTTATGATGGGAAGACAATGCGAATTTAGTGAAATGGATACTTCCTCATGTCGTGTTGTTTGTTGTCTGAATAACAGCAGTAAATAGCCCCCGAATAGCAGTGGGACATTTTTGGGAGAAATTTCATCTCCCGGTCATATGACGTTTAAGAAATTAAAATTAATATGTCGGCTTGTGAAATCAATTCCGGAACTCGACTAACTGCTTAGCACCCATTTAAATGAATACAATCACGGTGATTAAATTAGTAACGAATATTTCATAAAATGTCGTTGCTTACCATGCTGAATTCATTACTGACGAAGACGCGGATTTTAAGTGAACATGACTTTGTTTCATTCATCCGCATTCACAAATACGTAAAATTGGCTTCGATAATGTAAATTATTACAGTAGCTGAATCCACCGAAAGTGTTGAAAAACAAAACCAATCTCTCTTAAAATCATAGCTATGTCCGATTTGGGAAAAGCCTGTCTGCATTGGGTATGGATTTTCCGAATTTCAAGGTCCATGACAGCATCTGAGTTCCTCATTTCAGTGTTCACAAATGGCAGTACTGCAGCCACCAGTTTCCTGCGAAGCTAATATTAAGTTCATAACTTACAAACGGTACGGTAAGAGATGTGAGTTCATTAGGACTCCCTCTGGAATTTAAATGAAGCATTATAACATTTCTTCCATCAGCAACTTCTACAGTTGCATATTTGGCAGTTCATATACTTGAAATCTTCTGTGCAGCTGTCAGAAATCCTTTTTAATTTTTAAATACAGGAGTGCGGCTACCGAGCCTTCTGGATATATGTATATGCATAGTCTGCACGTAGACGTCTTCAGATTATTGTACGTGTTTCAGGTTTCTGGTCAGCGAAATTGTTAGTTACCTAATGACATTTTCTTTGGCAAACATAATCCGTAAATTTTACAATGTACGGCCCTATAGCATACTTTTAATTATTATGAACACTGGTAGGACCTTTTATAGTTATTAATTGGGAAACCTCTCTGGATTTCCATTACTGTAATAAATTCTTCATGAGTGAATGCAGAATTGCACTTAGAAATGCCCTTTTAAAAGTTGAAGGTGCTCAGAGTCTAGCACACGAGCAGCTATGTAATGCAAAATCCACTGAAGTTCACCAGCAAAGTTGTAATTCATTAGATTCATTTAAGGTCAATCGGTCAATATCTCACTAGTCTGGAGATGGCTGAAACATTCCGTTTAGCCTTCGCCAAACAGCTAAACAGCGATGTGGGTATTACCGTTACGGACCAAAATGGTGGCATGACTATTTCACAGGAGGAAGACCAAATAGCCATTCCCCAAAGAAACCCTGCAATAGTACTGAGAAAGCGACTCATACCTGGGAAGTCCCCAGGTTGTGATGACATCGGGCCATCTGTTCTGAAACAGTGCGCCGAAGCTCTATGTAGGCCCTAATGCGACTTGTTCCAACACTCCATGGAATCGGGGAAACTGCTAAAGGAATGGAAAAGAAGCATCCTTTCTCCGATCTTCAAGGGTGGGGATAGGCAAAATCCCACCAGTTATAGACCAGTAGCCCTACTCCCAGTGGTATCAAAAGTACTGGAAATTATTGATGATCACATCAGGGAATATCTGGATAGGTCTAAAATACTCCATGAAGCCCAACACGGTTTCAAGAAAGGGCGATCCTGCGTCACTAACTTATTATCAGCTTGGGACGACTGGACATCACGCTGGGATATAAATGTTCCTGTCCGTGTGATCTTTCTAGACTTTGAGAAGGCATTTGACACTGTTCACCATGACCTTCTCCTACACAAAATAAGCCAGGTAGGTTTAGGTAAACCACTTCTGTCATGGTTGAAGGACTACCTAACTGAAAGGCAATTTTGCACCAGGGTCAACCGAGTCCGATCATCTTGGCACAGCTCGTCATCAGGAGTGTCGCAGAGTTCTATCCTGGGACCACTGATGTTCTTGACTTTTATCAATGATTTACCATGCCGTCTAAGCTGCCCGAATCTTCTATACGCTGATGACGTAAAGATATGGAGGGCGATAAAGTGTCCGGAGGACTCAGATAGGCTACAAGAAGATCTAAACCTTCTGGAAGACTGGGCGGTAGCCAGTGGCATGACTTTTAACCTGAAAAAGTGCAAAGTAGTGAAGTTACGCACCTGCAGACTGCAGAATGCAAGTTACACCCTGTGCAATGAAAGCTTGTCCTGCTCAACGTCGGAACGTGACTTAGGTCTAGTTCTAACGGAAAAAATGGACACAAGTGTAAATTACATGGGGAATGTAGCGAGGGCATATGTGGTCATACACTTTACACATAGACAATTAGGTGCACTCACTCCTGAGCTCTTTCTAAGGTTGTATAAAACATACGTCAGACCACACCTTGAAGTGCATAATATCACTGCACCCCCACTGCTTAAAAGAGACGCCAACCTCTTGGAAAGAGTCCAACGACGGGCAACAAAAGGAGTGGTTGGTGTCCGAAATAAACCATATGATGAAAGGCTGAAGAAATTAGGCCTATTCACATTCAGTTACCGTCGCCTTAGGGGGGATTTGATTACTGCCTACAAAATAACAAATGATCAGAATCACCCAAACAAAGGTGTTCTGCCATTGAGTAGGTATAGGCTTCCTCGTGGAAATCCTAGAAGGATAGCTCATCAGAGGGCAAGGACCCGGGTGTGCTCCCACTTCTTTTCCCTGCGGGTTTGACATCCCTGGAATTCCTTACCGGCAGATGTAGCTATGGCACCATCTGTGGACGCCTTTAAGCGAAGGCTGGACAACCATGCAGCGACACAAGGACTTCATCCAAATGGCCTATCCCCCTAAAATCGCATACACCATTCAAAGGTAGACAATTAAACTGGTCGTTTTACTTCTTTACATTCTCTTCAGTCTTACTCTCCTGACAGCTTTAACTACACCTGTTATTATTATTATCATTATTACTGGTATATATATACCGGTTGACTGACTGTTGTTACGTTTTCTTATTCTTTTTCTGTCTGTTAGTCTGAATGCCTTCACCAATTATATCTATTATTATTATCTCTTTTCTATTGACGACGATACCGAAGGACCAACTGGTGAAAGGATCAACTCCATTCACAGTAGTAACAGTCTTAACACACCTCATACTACAAACCACATACAATTAACCCCAGCACTACTCCTTTTGGAGTAAACCAAAGCTACGACAGTCGAGTGGCGGGACGAGCTACACAAACGTTTACCGAAGATCAGGAACCTCTACCTCACAATCAAGAGGCGAGCACAAAGAAATCAAATTAAGTTATACTAGCTCGCAAAAACGATATTGGATATTGGAAGGTCAGGCGTTAAAAATATAAATGCCACTTTGTACATGTGGAGGTTATCCAGCTTGGATTTAGGATTATAGCACAATCCGACCTCAAAGGAGAAGATTTACATTCAAAGTCCGAGTTATAGACCGAGGAAAGTGTAATATTTAGTACAAATAGAAATTTTCTAATGTACGTCATTGGAACTATTTAGCAACAGAGGCATTTATTTGTATTGTACGTCACGCTTGTTTTTATGTAAAGTTAGTTTGCTAAGGTTTCTCGTTATTTCCTTTTCAAATTATTGCATTGGGGCCTACAGAAAATAAGTGTATTAACAGTTTGGCAATCTTGTACTTGTGGATTGTTGTTAAAGATGGTTTGTTTCTGTCAGTAACATTCATATGTATACATAAACACAACTGAAGATATATTGCGTTCTTATGCTGCCTATTCTTCTTTGCATTCCACATTTCTATTTTTCTTGCGTAGAATAAAGATATCTGTTGGACTCCTATTAAGATACATCTTTGTTTAATGACTCTGTTGGCGTTAAATTTCGCCTCTTTGTATCCCATGCTGTGTAGAGGGTTAATGGTTTGGGGATTTCATGGGTTCATTCATGGGGATACCGACACTTGTCAGAAATGTAGTTGAGTCGTTTGTTAGACAGGAAACTCGTGGGGAGTAGGGTTTACAGAATCTGAGGCATAACAGAGTATTATTTTCGAAGATTGAAGTAGATCCTATACTGCGCCTTAATTGCTGACACTCACTTTCATGAGTAAATGATTCTAGGGTTACTAATCTAAAGCAAGTAGGACGATAGAGGCGTTACATGACTCTCAACTTTTGCAATGTTTGAATCAAGTGCTTATTCAATGGATTCTGAGCTAATATGTATATGCCATGTGAAGTGAGTTTGTAAACTTTTGTATTTCGTTCTAAAGAGTAAGAAATAATGTCACTTAATCAGAATATGTTCGCACATAGGGTGCATTTACTGTCATATGACTGTCAGAAGTTACATATTCGATAATAATTGTTGTAAACAAAGTGGATTTCTCCCCCGAATATATACTCCTTGTTCGGCATTTCTTTGAAGTCAGGTGGTGGTATTGAAAAGTCTACTGTGAATTCCTCCATGCTAGGTTGCTGCGAATCAATTTGACTTTGCTCTTATGGCAGTACAATGCTTCCAATTGATAGAAAAGTGCTCTTCAAAACTAGTCATTGGTAAGAAGGGAATATCAATCGTTGAAATTGTGAAGCTGCACTGATTAAGATGGCTAGGATATGCGTTACGCTCTCCTGGCAGATCGATGTTAGGTGTTGTGGGATTAGTCTGGGAAAATGTTGGGGATGGTCAAATCAAAACATGATGTCGATCCATGAAGTCTTTGACTGTTGGCTTCAACCGAGTAGGGAGGTATGCACTGTCTCTTAGGTCCTCCTGACGTGGAAAACCACTTTATTGACAGTGTTGGCGGTATAGCTCAAAAAGGTTCGCAGTGGCGCAGATGCATTCACTCTGTATTTTCTCATCCTCATGCTTCTCCATATGATTATTCTTTCTAGCGTTCATATACGTTTATTGTAATTCCTTTGAATTATTTTTAACTACGTTGAGTGTGGCAACTTGAACTGTTGAACTTTTGTAAAAAAACTCTACATTAAATACCTATCAGCGTCAGATACTAACTGCAAGTAGTTTTTCTGCAATATACATTTATGAACAGCAATATGAACGAAATTGAAGTCTCATGTATCTTTATTTCTTGTATGCATGTTGCAGAATTCGTAATGCAATTAAATACCCAAAATCCATCTAAACTTTATGTCCTTTGAGCTTAAAATATTAGTAATGACAGATTACACAGTCATATCAAAAACATGTCCGTAACTTTCTGATAAGTAGTTCTGTCAAATGGTCTTTTTAGTTCAAAGACCCTAATGGCTTACTATCTGGATTTTTGTGGCATAACCTTTTAAAAATACTTTTGATAAAGCTGACTGTGTGCTTATTAAGCCTTAACCATATGTCTGCTTTAGTAGTAGCTACTGCTGTCTCTTGGAAAATACTTGAGTTATCCTGAGGCTCACACTTAAGACTCATCTATTTATGTTTTTAAGAAGTTTGGATTTCTAAAGTTTATGGCCTTCTTATATTTCCTAAAATTATTGTTTGTCAAGAAGTCACACAGACTGGTAGGGTCACCAGTGCTTGCAATACTGTGGCTACACTAAATCTAGGCTTAAAAATTGGAAAACGTCGGTTGATGTCAGCAAACGTGCATGAATTCAGGATTTGGTTACATGCAGTACTTAGTAGTAGCCCTGATAATTCAAGACTTGAACCAATCACACAGGAAATACCACAACCTGGTTCTATATTAGTATTGCGAAAACAAACTGTACAGTATATCTCTTTTGCTGCCTCATGTACCGATCGCACTCTTCTAAATAGAAGACAGTGTAATTTTTGACCATAGGTCTCTAGAGATAATCTTGATATTTGATGATGTATCGACCTCTACCCACATTGAATGATCATTCATAGGACCTTGTTACACTTTCGGCGATAAGTTGTATGAGCGTGTGAAGTAGCTACCAGGCTAAAAGATTTGTGTGACAATGTCTGTAGGACTACCGTTGTGAATGTCTTTATATGCACTGTTGGTAAAAGCTGTCTTTGTGGCCAACGGTATAAGTCTCGGCACTGTTGTTCTCCCTAGGGAAAGGGTCCGATGAAATGGTAGAAGGATCATGGGAGGGTCTTCTTCCAGCTCCGATCGGCACCGTGTGAGTAACTGAGATGTTAGACGGTCGGAATAAGACCAGGGCGCGTCTGACCAAAGGGTAACATGATATGAGATGTCTGGCGATTTGCATACAATTCTCGACCACCGTAACATCTGGAATTTTGCTGCAGACTTGTCACTCATTAGTATTCAGCAGAGACGCCATTCAGTGTTACCCTTAGTTCTTGTTCCATTTTTGTTCATGGTTAACTTGAAAAAACGATATCGAGAGCTGAAGAGAGATAAGTTAACAAAGTGTTGGCCCAGGATCTGTATTGCGTAGTCAAACGTGCAATCGCTTTGCTTTTGCTACAGAACTGTTTTATAATATTAATTTGATTTAGATGCACCTAACTTTCAAAGTAGGAGGCACACTCTGAAGGAATCATCCTGGCCAGAAAATCTACTTTGGAATTTTCTTTGTGTAGCCTGCAATAAGTATCGAATGTTAAATTGGTGATATGACTTAAAGTCGTTCTCAATGACTCAGATGCATTCACTTTTGTAAACTCCCAGGTCCACTAAGTTGTCATTATTCTAAATGTAATTATTCTTCATTTCCCTACTTTTTCACTCATTATCGTCCCTTCATATATTTTTTTCTTTTGCCTATCTCTGTGTGATGCATGGAGTGTGGCAACTTGGAGTACTACATTTTTACAAGATGTTCTACTTTGAAACTCATCCACACTATCAGTAACTTAAACTTTAGATGTTTATACTCAAGTTCTTTATCATTTAAGAGTTTAACTGGCTTTTTTATCAAATATGCAAGATAAATTTATGTAGATAAAATGTTTATATTGCTTACTTGTATGTGTATAAAAAACTCATTTAAATTTTTTTAAACAAATGTTTTATCAATGTTCTTTTTTTTCCGTATTCAGGTTTAGGTAGTTCAAAAGTAGTAGTTCAAAAAAGTACTTCTAAAGTACAGGTATATGTATGTATAAATACAGAAAGTATAAATATATATAATAAAAGACTATTGTGTCAAGATAAAGGTTATGCCTGTCAAATCAGATATGAAGGACAAGACATCGAATTCATCAGATGTTAAAGAAAAATCTAAAAAAGGAAGATATAGTCTGAAAAAGTTATTAGATCGTAGTCGTTTCTCTCCAAGTTTATTATTTCTGTCAAAATCTTTTGCAAGTAAATCTACTGAAGCACCAAATGAAGAACAACGTAAATCTGTGCACGATGATATGGTGAGTTGAATTGATGCATATCACTTTAATTTCAACTTTGTTTAAGAAAAAAAATGCATTTTACAAAGTGATGTGTGTGCCAAATCAATATATCATTGTCATCATATATATATATATATATAATTCTCTTTCACGTTTTTGCATATGAATGTTAATTCTTGAGTGAAACATATTTTATTTATGAAAGCACAAACTAGGCACATTATGGGTAATAAGAGACGCACCACACAAAGTCTCATAGTGTGTTCGAGGGCTGGGATATTTCCCGGACACCCAGACCGAAGAAGGCGGTTGCTTCGAGAAGCCATATCCGAACTTTTAACAGAAATAGGGGTCCACAAGGCAATGAAGCAGCTTCAGGAGATACGTTCCCATGGTTTCCTGTGACCAAGACAGGTTTATATGCCATTCATTCCTTGCAGATTCTGAAGCCCACATGGAATTGGAATTTTCCAGCTCCCCTAGGTGGCATGTCCACCAGTCCCGTTGTAAGACCAGACGTTCTCATTCTCTCACATTTGTGAGGAACACCCTTGCTGTGTGAACGCCGTGAATATGACTTGCCTGGTAGAGGTTATGGACGCGTGTCCATATGTGAGTGCATTTTGAGAATAAGACCGAAGTGTACTCAACCTAGGCCGTACTAAGTCCACAAGAAGCAAACTATTAATTATATAAGATTCTCTAGTGACGAGCAAAATGCTCGTAGTTAGCTAGAAGCTCAATACACTTTCGATAATAGTGAAGCAGTAATTACTTTTTTAGGAAACTAGCGGAATATAAAATATCCCTTCTTTTCGTACTATCGCCCAGTTGTGTCGTCTTTGAATTTCTGTAATCGTAAATTTCAGTTGACTTTGGTAATAATGCTGACAAAGAATAGTATCTTTCCACCTCAATAAATATGTACGTTTATAAAATGTATGGTGACCTTTTTAATATTCATTTGTACTGGTTATACCCTAAAAATATTAACTGAAGCGGTCAAATATATTGACCACTGTATAGCTAATGGACTTGTTGTTAACAGAATCTCAGCATGATGTTGGCAAAATAACCAAATTCTTTATCGAAAGATAAGCACTTCACAATATTACACTCATTATCCCCTTTGTTTATCGCTGCAGTATCATTCTACCTCTGTTCACTTACGCTTTGCGGGTTATATTATGAACTTGGAGAACCCCAAATGATGCACTTCTGTATAATGTTATATGATGAAATTGTTTTGTCTTTGCTAGAAATACTTATTGATTCACAAATAATCCCCATTTAGACATTAATGAAAAAAAACAAAACAACAACAACAGAGTAAGCAGCTTAACGAAGACGCTCTTTTCAGTGAATTCACTTTCTTAAGCTGCACAATTGCAATTATGTACAGTTTCACCCTACAAAAGTGATGAGTTGTCATAATCATAGTTGTTAATATTAATCAATATATAAGAGGAGATGAATAGGGGGGGGTGTTAGAGTTACATATTGAGACAACATGGTGATCATCATGATGGTATAAGCGGGTTGGATGCAGAGCTCTGGTTTCTTCGTCATCACCACCTTTGTTAATGTCGTCTTTTATCAGAAAATTGCACATAAATACGGTTCTGTAATCTAAGAAAGAGTATTCGTCGGAAAGAGCCTCTTTACTGAAATACTTGTCTTTGTCTTTTCGTTAAATATTTATTACGTATAACGGTGTTTTGTGTGTGTTAGGTGCTTGTAGTGTTTTCTGTGTTAACTGGTACACTAAGTAGTTTCTATCAACTTGACGCAAGATAAATCAAACATGTATTCATATTCTAATAAGGATTCATAAAAGTTCATGTTAACTGTCTGTTACATCAGGTGTACGATCATCAGGCAAGTTCATCGTTGAACGTTTGAACACCTCTCATCTCGGTTAGGCAAACGTCCGAATAAAGCTATACGCAGCTCAATACTAACTCACCTCGTCAATACTGTGCATCAGGTTGACACTAACAAAGCTCATTTACGGTGTTCCACGGAGATGCGGTTTAAGCATTTTCTTTTCAATGGGTCTCAGATCCGAGTTCGTCTCCACTTTCTTCAGCCTGGCTAACTGGGTAGTATCGTTAGCCCGCATACAATAAGTGTGGCTTATAGCCTAGTACTAGGTAACTGAGTTCTAACAAACAAATAAATAAACATTTATGGTATTTTCCTCAACCTTTAGTAAGGTCTACGCTCACTACTTTTACTTGCAACAGAGGTAATTGGAATTCATCTGAAGAAGCCAAATCTGTATGTTCAAAAGAAATCTGCGCGGTCCCTATCTGTGCCATGGTGGACTAAATAATATGTCTGAAGTTCTACAAATGATTCCCCCCTCCCCTTGTAACTATCATTTGGCACTGTTATCTTGTTATGATTACTATTCTAGCGATTGCGCTATATCGTGAATTGGCAGAAGTTAGAATTCCTGGGCCATTGGATTGGGTCTACGAGCTTGCCTTGTAACCAGAAAGTCATGGGTTCGAACCCCGATGGGTGCGTACTGATAAAGAGTCCCAAACTAAGAAGAAACAGCTGTCCGGTCCTCCCTGCAGGTTTTCCGATGTTTCTCTAACCATTGTCAGCTCATGATGAAATCCTGTAACCAAAAGTAGAGTAATTCCTACAAACCAATACTAGAATATCTAATTCAGTTAACTTGTTCACATCTTGGCAGTCTTACGTAATTCCACTTATTCATTATTATTTTACAGATTTCTTGATTGTGTAGTAACGTTTATTATGCATTATTATTTGTTGGAATAATCTTTCTTTTGTATTTTTGTTTTGTTCTCTTTATAGATGGAAATCAATGCAAATATAAGAAATTCAGCCTCTTCATCACCACATTCCTATTCACCTGATTATAGACGACGTTTAACAGCCTCTGTTCCATTCGACTGTTCTGATTCACCGATAATCACTACTACAGAATTTCGAAATCCTGCTTGTGGTAGTGATCAGGCTAGTCCTAATTCAGAAGTAAGTTTTATAAAAAAGAATCACGGCATATATTTCTTAATAGGCTCAGATGCAGTCACTCTTCCATATCCAGAAAAACCCTTTTTTTGTCGCTTTCTATTGTCTTCCTTTGTGTTCTATGCGGAGTGTGGCAACTGGACCTGCTGCACTTCTGTGCAAAGTCCTGTGTTGAAACCACCAGTTAGTCAGTCAGACAGTACAGTGTAATGTAAGGTGCACATGTACACACATAAAGATGTAGTGCACTGGTTTCGGCCCTTAATTTTCAGTCAGTGGGTCATAGGCTTAAACCTCATTTAATCTAACTAGGTTCGGGAAACCAGGTAATATCATTAAGGGTTACGCAATAGGTATGGCTCATTGCCATTGCCTTATGTAAATGCAAACCAACTTTAAGTAGCATCTACTTCTACACATAAAGCTACTTATGATGTGAACATGATTGCATAGAGTGAATGATATTTTGATTTTTAACAATCTCCCGGAAGAAGTTTGAACTAGTTTGCTGAATAATACGGTAGAATGACCTACATCAGTGCTACTGATATTTTTACTTTTACCTGTGTCTAATTCCCACTCTACATCCAGTTTCTACAGAATTAATCGAATCTTTTTGATCAAAATTCATATAAAACATTGATTAACTGTTTTTTTCGTAGCTTCGAATCTCTACACCAAATACATCCTGATTTTGAGATAGATTTTGGTGAATAGTCTTCATTCGCGTGAACATATATTTGATAGTGGCACACGGGATGCTAACGTAGCCTCAATATACTGTAAACGTCTGGATTATACTTCAGCATATAAGTAGTAATGTGCTTATTACAGAAGTGGATACTCATTGTCCATTCTATTTTATCAAAAGTGGTGAAAATCCTTCTGTTATCACTGCAAGGGATTATACTTAAAATTATAAAGTTTAATAATTGGCAGGTGGATGTCATTTACAGGGTAAACAAACCTTGTGAACAGCAAACTTGACTTGAAAAGGCAGGTCTCAGTCTCTTTTTTAATTGATTCTGGAACACATATGTACTTACCAACTTTGGATATTTACCATACTTATTAATCTAACGGTGAATTTTCACTCTCTTGGTCAAAAATAGTAGTGATGTTAAGACTTTTAGACGGAGTACCGTGAAAGTACAATGTGCTGGTTAAACATTTTCACTTAAAGAGTCGTTGTCATTTGGATCAAAGATTAGCAATATTATCTGTCACAAATATTCACTTTCACCACTTTTGTTTCACCTCAAACGCAAGTATTCTCATGGTTTACAACTTTGTTTGATTTTGTCCTCTTAAGAAATGAATTACTACCAGGAAAAGCTGCTATTGATGTGAATTATACAAATGGAATTAACTCTGTTAAGCAAAGAGGCTGGAAAGATGCAGTCTTTAGAGCATCATCAGAATAACTATGAATGTGTTTTTGTTATGCGTTTTTACCCGTGTTAAATGTAATGTGATGCCTACGGGACGGGTCTACACCACTTCATAGTATGCTCCTAGGGAATGTGTCGTCCACATAGTAATCCCTTTCTTTTCACCTTAGTTAATTAGTATACTTATTTTTAGATGGTCAAAGGCAATCGATAGAAAGCCTCGGGCCTAGGTTTCGTTCCTGTTGGCACTCATCATTCAATTAGGTGTACCTGCAATCTTGAAGGAACTTATGTCCTTTCTGAGATTTGAACCGGAGTCACTCAGTGCTGCAATCAGAAGTATTAGTCATCACCTAGTGTTTATTTAAAATATCAGTTACAGTCCTGCATGAAGTCAATCGCAGGTCCGATCAGCTGAATGGGAACATCTCTGAATGCAGCACTGAATAATGACCCGTGTTAGAATCTCAGAAATGGCATAAATTCCTTCAAGATTGCAGATACGTCTCACTGACTGGTGAGTGCCAAGAAGCAGGAAACCTAGATTGGTCCGAGGCTTCCTACCGATTGCCTCCAATCATCTAATAACAACAATTCAGAATGCACCTTGATGGCGAGCCACCTAGAATAGTGGCCACATTACATAATTTACTGATTTCACTCAGTCTACATCAACATCAAGGACTAGACTCATGACATTCGGTCGGTCGGTTTTCGACATAGAACTTTGCACATATGTGCGGCAGTTCCAGTCGCCACACTCCATGCAGTACACAAAGCAAGAGAAGAAATGCAAAATAGAGACAGTAAACAGAGGTGTGAGACAAAGGAATAGTAATGACGGAGAACAAAACAGTTTCATTGGAAATCATAAGTCACAAGGAGTGGATGCATCTGCGCCAGGCATTGAAAACGATTTTCAGCCATGTCACCAATTGTTTCCAACCATTGATTTTTACCATCCCGAGGAACCCAACCAGGAAGTCTACATCTCCCTACGCGGCTTAGGCTAACTGTTGTGGATTTCATTGACTGGTGCCATGTTTTGGTTTGACCGCCTCTAGCTCTTTTCCAGCCTGACCGTATATCAGCTAACATTGCCCGTCGAGGAAGGCGATGACTAGGCATACGTATCACATGTCCTAACCATCTCAGTCGAAGTAATTTCACAAATTCGTCGATTGATTTCCCCGCCTTACCTAGCACTCGACCAAAGCCTAACCTCAATATTACTCACCTTATTATACCACTTCACGCGGGAGATAGAACGCAGACACCCATTATCGAAGACAGCTAATCTTTTCATGTCTTCTGCTCATGACATTAGCTACTATTTAGTGTCCAATCAAAGTAGGTATAATTGTTTTTCTCAGTTGAAAGGTTATACTTCATCCAATCCGCTTTTATGTAATAGACTTAAATATAAATTTACATTCTGGATTTAATGTATAGCAAATTTGTTTTACTAAATTTGATAGTTTCGCATTTGCTTTGAACTCATTACTGTTTATAGACTTTATAGTGTTGTTTGGCAACATTTCATCATGATTACTTTGAGATTCTCGTAATTAACTTTCTTGACTGATTTTTTTCAAAATTTTTAAATTTTTTTTTATCGTGCATATATATTTACCATTCATTTATGATACGGTTAGAGATACGTGTTTGTCGGTCGTGATCACTGCATTTCTATTCTTCAAAGACATTTAATTTTCGTTTTTGGCTCCGCAACACTACTACTGTCTATGATTACCACATGACTAGTGAATTCATTATACCAGTTAACACTCACGTGTCACAATATTTACTAGTTTGTTAGCCAAATCAACTCAATGTATCACTTTTTGAAAGTTGATATATATATTTGGCAGTGAATTTTTATAATTCGATAGCATAGATATTTTTTTTAAAAAAAAAACTTGGAACTGCTAACTATAATTTTGCCTGCTAGTTTTTATTTGTGTATCGGAGGTTTAGGAATAGAGTGCTCTCCAGCAATGCACGTGATCCGGGGTTGGATTCCCGGCCCGGTGCATACCACCTTTACTTCTATTAGCTAGTTGTTAGCCGGCCCGACAAAGAGGAGAAGTTGGGTGTGAAGCTGGCAATCCCCCTGCCCCTGGAAGGAAACACCACTGTAAATTACTACTTCAAAGCTCAAGCTGGAAGCCATATGTTCCACTGGGAACGCATAGGAATGACATCAGTTTTAATTTACTTGTCATTTAGGTTAAGGATTATTGTAAAAAAAAGTAATTCGGTGGCACAGCAGTTAGGACTCTCGCCGACCATGCACATGGTCCGGGGTTCGATCCCCTGCCGACGCACACCTGATATCAATGGTCGGCCTGCAAAATTTGGGCTACCGATATCACATGCTGAAAATTCCATACTTGTACCAAAAATACTGTATGGTTTCAAGCTATAATCAAAATTTTAAAACAATAAATAAATTAGTAGGGAAATGAAGTTATTAGGAATGGCTAAGATAAACTTGTGTTTTTGTTGGGAATTAAGCAGATAAATATTTGATCATGTTACCACTTTACAATTCTGATAAATTTGTAATCTTCTTTGTTTTCCAATCATTTTGCTTTCCCAGTGGAACATAGAACTTCATGCGCTTGAGCTTTGAAATTTCAGTAACTGTTGTGTTGTTTTTACGGGGTGCTAGTCCCCTTATGCCCAACCTTCTGCCTTTTACTGAGTTTACTGCTGTCTATACGGGGAGTCAAACTCGAGCCATGTTTATTGTTGGTGAGTATTCTAGCACTGAACAACCGTCGACGCAAAAAGTCGAACTTGAGTCACTAATTGCTGCAGTAGTAATAACCGTTACCCCTTAAACTATTTGGGTGGCTATTTTCAGTGGCCTAAATAAATAAATTACTGAAACAATCCTGTGTTACACATAAAATATACTTTGGCTGTATCTACCAACTTCATGTACAGGTGTAATGTCTGAATTTTTGTTATAGGTGCTTAAGTTACGGTGAAATAATTAACTCTATTACGGTCTACAACACTGATACATGACTAATTAAGAATGGTGTAGGATATGAAACGATTTTGTGTATTCCATTGGCATAGACCACTGGTGTTGTGAGTGTAATTATCGTTATGATCATTATAGAAGTTGATTACAAACTATCAGCTAAAGGAGTCAAGATAGTTGATAAGCTTGTGAATATTTATGTTGGAATGATATATCAAAGAGGAGATTAGGACATACTGAACCAATCAATGAAGTCTTTGACTATTTTTCTTCAGGATTTCATCATGAACTGAAATCGGTTAGAGAACCATTGGAAAACCTGCAGGGAGTACTGGACAACTGTTTCGTCCTAGTTTGGGACTCTTCATCAGTACGCACCCACTGCCAGGGTTCGAACCCAAGACCTTCAGGTTACAAGGAGAGGTCGTAGACCATTATGCCACCGGGACGCCCAATCCAGTGGTCCATGAATTCCAACTTCTGCCAATTCACGATATGGCGCGACCACTAACGAATGTCATCCGTGGCGAGTATTCGTCCTCACACCCTAATCAAATCCCTGCAAACCAACACTTGATATTTTTCTTCGGTCATCTAAGGGGTCAGAACATTTCTAGATAAGTAACCTATATTCCCCTTCTCCTCATGTATGTACACCATTCGTGTTCGCTTTTTGTTGATCTCTCAGTGTGACATTAATCTAACCTGGGACAACTTATATCTATATTTAAGTATGCGCTCAGTAGAATACACTTTTATTTAGTACTTGTCAGATAGAGTCAACTTTCACCTCCTTCAATTCTGGTCAAAACAAACTGAAAGTATATTGTGAAAACTAAAAATATTAATATCTATTCATCATTAAACTGACACGATTTCCATTTTACACATAAATGTGACGTAACATGTGAAATTAAAAAGCCTTAATTTGTTGGGTCATAGTGATTACGTGAACGGTATTCAGTTCAATCTGTTGATCACAAATTTTTTGAATTTCAACCGACAATTGCGTAATATAATCATAATAATAATAATTGATTAGTGTTCACCTAATCTAATTATTTATCATGCTTAAAATATTGTTAAACGGAAAATACCCATCCCATCTAGACATGGAAATGAAGACAAACAGTTTAGCGAAGAGAGAGACACTGTTCGGCAAATTCAACCATAAATACATATAATTAGTTTCGTGTGTTTGTGTGTGTGTGTACATGCCGTCTGTCAAACATAGCAAGAAAATAAAAATAAATTAGTTTAGAGTATTGCTTACATCATCAACATATTTCAAAACAGTGAAGACTAATCACATTGTAACTAAATGGAGTAAAGATTAGTAAATCTAAACTAAAAGTTACGGAATACGAAGAAAAAATGTCGGGAGAAGGTTTGGTGTTTTTCAAAGAACACTTTGACAAATATCAAAATATGTGTTGTGTAACAAATGAACAGAATGAAGAAAAGGTCAGTTAAGGAAGTGATGTTAACAGTTGTCACATCAAAAATGCAAGAAAGTATTAATATAATAACAAAATATTGATAACAGTTGAGTTTGTCTAGGGTAGTTAGAAGGAATGAGTGTGGACAAGTTTCTCCTGTGTGTATAAATTAGGTTTATCCATATAAATCACTAAGGCTTAAGCAATGCAAACTATTTTACGGAAACATTCCGTTTCCCGGTGTTACCTTTTGACTTTGTAGATAATGAATTTCCCTTAGATACCACTTCGTATTGACCCATTGTGACCGTCTCTAAGCATGCGGGATAATGTCCGTCAAGTATTGGTTTTGTAGGGATTTTGTTTGATTGCATGCAGGATTTCATCATAAGCTGACATCAGTTAGTGAACCACTGGAAACCTGGAGTACTGGACAGCTGTTTCCTCCTAGTTTGGGACTCTTCTACTTTTTTCGCAGTGAGACACGCATTGAATGATCTATATATCTCATTCCACTGAAGCAAGTGAATTGGTAGATACACGTAGAAGTAGTCAAATGCGATAGTTTATCTTACAAGTTATTGGAGAACATTGGGCGGCAGGAGAATATCTATCTGAATGTAGACTCAAATAGTGTTCCTTTCAGGGCATTTTGATATTCTCTTCTTTAGAGCGTTAGCCCAAAGTTCACCTCTGAACGTTAAGTCTATGTGTAACATCTTAGACATGGAGGTGGGACTTTTCTTTGTTAAGTTTGGGTCTTATATGATAATATATAAAGCGTGGGGAGATGCACATTTTCAATTAGTGTGTTCCTCAAAAGTGTGATTACCTCATTTAACGACTTCGGGTTGCAGATTCTTCGGATCCTAGTTGCAAATAATATTACCAGGTCTCTTTTGCCATTTATGGACACTCAACTGTAAAAGTTTGTTAGCAGTGTTGTTATTTATACAAATCAGCACTCATCGGCTTGAGCACTTAGTGTTTAACTAACGGTCCACAGCTTCGACTCCTTTAACAACTTTTACCTGGTTGACGGCGTTGGTGGCACAGCGGTTAGGACGCTCGCCGACCATGCACATGGGCAGGGGTTCGATCCCTGGCCGACCCACTCCTTTACCTCGCTAAGCCAGAAATAATGCTGGTGAAGAGGAAAGGTTGGGCATGAGGCTAGCAACCCCATCCTGTAAAATAAACACTGCTACAGAAACTTCAAGCCACTAGGTTGAAGCCCTATGTTCTACTGGGGAACGTGAAGGAAAAAAAAACCTGGTTGACAGTATTGTATAGTTGACTTTCAATTATCAGACTGAAAAAGAAAGGATAATGTTTGCATATTTTTGATTCAGAACAATACAACTAATCAACCATCTACTTGTTTGTCTTTTAAACTCTCTCAGTTACATCTTTAAGCTAGGAGTTAATATCACTAACGACTAAACTGCAGAAACCATTGAGGAGGGTACAGCGTTATCTGCAATTGTAACCTTATGTACTCTAGCGCACTTTGATTTTGGTAACAGATATTGACAGGAGGGGACTACCTGCTGATTGAGTCCCCCCCAGCAAGCATCTGGAATCACGTCTGTGGTTCAGCGGCGGAATGCTCGCCACCCATGCTACAAATGGTCCGGGGTTCGATCTCATAAAAATAACTCGGTTGCCAGGGAAACTTCAAAGCTTAAGCTCGAAGCCCTATGTTTTCCATTCCGAACTTAAGGGAATTAAAAAAAGCACCTGAGATCGAATCACTGAATACCATATTTAAATCAGTTAAATTCATGAAAACTATAAAGGTTGATTGATCACAGTGATAACAATAATAATAGAATGTTAAAGCAGCTGCTTCGTTTTGTGAGTTTTGACAAAATAATAATAGGACGTAGTTTATATGAACCGTGTAATGTGCTTACGTAACATATTTTAAATGATTTGATCATATACGCACTTGTCATACACGGTTATTAACAACACGGTTTAACAAATTATAAATTGTCAAAACTGAATTATAATCTAAGTCAAAATGTTAATTTATAAATTGAATCACATATAAATGAAAAAAAGTAAAATATTAGTACGTAAATAACTTTTGATTTACCAGGAGAGGTCCAATGTGATACCAAATATTCCCTGAAAGAACAGATTAGATTTATGCCTTTTTACGACTAGGATGTCAACAAATTCAAGTATGTGTGATCCATATTTCATATATGCGTTCAAGAGAAAAGCGCTAACACTTGTCTCTATAATGGGTTATACGACAGATGACATTGGACATGTGTTTGTGGGATTATTTAGGTTAAAATGATTCCATTCTCCCTCGAAGCCATTTAACAATGTTCTCTGTAGTATTAAGCTTCAGAGACCGATTAGTCCTTCCTGTATGTGTGTGTGTGTGTCGTGCATGCGTGCGTTTATGACTACACGTACATGTGAATTGGTATACACAATGCTATGTGATACTGACATTTAAATTTCTTAAGGGTTTTGGAGGACAACATGAATTTCGTTTCCCTTATATAAATACGAGCTTAGCTGCATAAGTACCGCTTCAAATCTTTAAAGCACTATATTGAACGTACTTGTATATATGATACTAAGACTTTTGTTGATCAAGATGTCAGTTTAAATGTGCATCTCAGTTGGGAAACCTATTTGGTTACTAACCAACCAACCCCCTGCCCCCTCCCCCAAAAAAAAACTTCACAGGTGTTGCAAACACAAAGAATAAATTACATGTATGATTGAATTTTATTTTAGTGGAGTGTTATTTTTTGTTATTGGCTTAGTTGGTTTAATTGTAACGTTTTAAGTAATCATACTGATCAATACCATCGGTGGAAAAGTTAATAGCGAGTGGATTATTAAAACTACTCGCATAAATAGATCAATGGTGTAGGTTATGTCTTCTTTTCCATACTCACCGAGTTGGTTGTGAGGACACTGACTTGCGGTTGCGCTGTATATCTCAAATTGGCAGAAGTTAGAATTCATAGACCATAGGTTCACCTAGTAGCCGGGAAATTCCTAGGTTCAACCCTTTTTTGGAGTTATGGGTCCGTTCAGACGAAGAGTTTCAAAATAGGACGATATAGCTATCCAGTGTGCTCTTTAGTTTTTAGTGATTCTCTAACTGAAACCAGCTGGCGATATAGCTTAAGTCAATCGAATCACTACAAACTCGTAGAAAGCTTATTGTTACTTAAATTATCATTTCTTAGACTCGTACTTGATTTCTATTCAATAAGTATCAATTTATTTTCTTCAGCAAAGATTCCTCATGTGAATATTATTATTATTATGTTACTGTTATTATTTCCTTGGGTTACGAGCAGGACATAGGGGGCTTCAACAGCATATCTCCATTTCATCCTGTTATCTGCACTCCTCTTTAGCTGACTCCACGATTGTCCCTCACACAATCTCCTCCATGTCACCTCGTCGTTTCTCATTCAAGTTCTACTCGAGGGCCTAGTGGATGATGTATGTTACTCAGCGGTTTTCTCAGAGTATGTCCTATCCGTCTCCATTTCCTTCGGCATATTTGTTCTGGGTTGGCTCATTCCCAGAGTTCCATGTTGCCTATTCTTTCTGACCATATATGATCTTCAGAATGGAGTCATCCAAAGCAGCTGTAGTCTTCACACATGTGCCAAGTTTCTGAATCTATATGTTGAAAAATTTGCTTTTATTTTGTTTTTTCTCATCTTCTTTTTAATAGTATATTGTTGAAGAAGAAGAATATGAAGAATCATTGACACAATTTGCTGATATTATATTAGGCGGATTTAAAAGTCGATCAAATCCAAGTTCAAGAAAATCACCGGATAGCTTTTCTGCTTGGTCTGATGCTGCTCTCCAGTGTGGATCACTCACTAGTGGTATTGATGCACATCGTCAACATCCACATCAACACCACCATCACCAACAACAACACCACCACCAACAAGTGACAGAGACATCTGATAGAACTCCACCACCGATTGATTTTAGTTCTTATGAAAAATCAGCTGATATTGAGCATAACAATACTACTACTACTACCACTCCTACTACTGCTACTGGAAGTAATCATAAAGCCATTGGAAATATTGTAACTGGCATCAATCCATCAGGAATATATAATGAACCGTGTGATGCTAAACCTTCTCCCCCGGATAATGATAATAATCCAATGACAATTTATACAACTAGAAGTGTTTTAATAAAAAATCCACCAATGGATGTCAATCGAATAGAGAACAGGTAAGTATTTAAAATCATTATTGATACTAACTTTTGTTATTATATTTACCAGTAAACACATATAAGCATAGAGTTTTCCTCTCTCTTTCCCTCTGTCCTTAGGTTGATATTTTTTCTAATTTTTGTCTGTTAATCCTTCGTTTCTCTTGTTTCATGTGTAGTAGATATAACGATATTGACTTGCTTTGTGATTAAATGATTTAAACTAGTTAAGAGTAAATGCATTCAGAGATACTAGCCCATTTTATTACACAGGATGTCCTTTTTTTGTCAGCTTCCTTTTAGCTTGTGAATAATTAAAAAAAAATCTAATCAAGTAGTCACACTTTGACAATTCTTGGCATACTTTCAATAAAAAAAATGTGAATAGGCAGTTAACTTTGGAAGAGTAGAGAACAATCTACGAAAGAATCAACACAGTTGGCTTATTTTGTCTTATGTAATCCTATTTTTCAAGGGTTGTTTTACAGGCATTTGATCAGTTAAAGGTTTCATCATGACGAGTTAACATCAGCTAGAGAACAATTGGAAAACATGCAGGGAGTTACTGGAAAACTGTTTAGTCCTAGTTCAGAACTCTTCATCAACAGACCCTCCCCCCTCACTGAGACTCGGACCCAGGACCTCCTGATTACAAGGCGAGCTTGTAGACCATTCAGCCACTGAGGCCTAATCCGATGACCCTTGAATTCCAACTTCTGCTAATTCGCGATATGTATTAGAGCAACCTCCAGCCAGCGTCTACTATGTATAAAGTTAGGCTTAGGGTTAAGGTTAGGGTGAAACTTTCAAGGAAGATTATGGACAGTATTCATTTGAAATGTTGAGCGTTGTAATTATCTATCATCATCAGTATGAGTGGATCCTAAAACTGGTACTCATAGAAATTGTATTGAAGGATTTTAGGCATATCAAAATAACGGATCAGTACGGTATATGTCTCTATAACCACTCCTATTAAAAAAATGATACCTGTTTTTACAGCATATTACAGGCATATACACTGTATAATTCATTTTTATTATGCACACTTTATATCCTGTAAATGTACTTATATCAAAATGACACATTTCACCTAGAAGAATATGATAGGTTAGTTCATTGGTTATTTGCCTGTAATATCTATTTTTTGTTCTTGTTGATCATACCTGAAGTGTCTGACGCAATACAATATTTGTGAATTTGTAGATCCCACAACAAACCATTGTGGCGATAGATGACTAGGCTTGTTTCTTTTGTATACAAAGTTTCGGTTGTTTTTTCTTTTTGTCGAATTCCTATGGCTTGGACTGTTTGCAGTATTCGGTATTTAGTGGCTTTAGGCAGTTTATTTGATACATGACTGGAAAGGATTCTTAATAATAATAATAATAATAATAATAATAATAATATACTTTATTCCAAAAACAGTACTTGTGATACAGCATTAATCACAATATTGCATCTAATTTCCTCAAATTATAAATAAAATTAATCACACAGAAAATTTTCCACATTTACAATAGGGGTAATGTCAAAAACATGCAGCATATAAAGTGGAAATAATAATAATGATAACAGCTAAGGTAATAATAATAATACAAGTGAAAATTGCCGTGGGCTTGTTTCACACAGTATTGTCGATGCGGTATAGAAATCCTAGCATGTTTAAAAATATTGAATATAATGTTCTCTTAACATGATATGGTGAGGGGAAAAACAAAGATTACAGCAGTCATAGAGATAAGTTGGTGTTTGCAATTATGAAAGTAAACCAAAGAAGCAATAGGACCATAAATATAGAACTTGGACCATAAATATAATAGAAATAATAAAAGTAAAACTTGAAGGTATATAAGGATGGATGGAGGAAATTGTTTATTTACTAGATGAAAAAAGGTTAGTCAATTCTTGCCTGACACTATTTTCATCACATAAAATACATGCCAAGTATGGTATCATAGAATTTTTATACTTAGACGTGCGAGCATACAGTTTTCTGAAGTTACTTCTTGTTCTACCTGAGGAGATGCACGGTGAAAGCTGAGGGTGAAGTGGATGCTCCAAGTCAGACAAAATCCCTTTAGCAAATTTATTGCACGAAGTCAAGTGCCTATCGACAACGACGTTAACTATGTGGTCCACTGCGACACCACTCACCCTACTGACAGTCTTCAGCATTCTACGAGTTGTGACATAGTCCTTTTTAAGCAAACCAGGAAAGAATAAGGGTGAACAATAAAGAAGAATAGGTAGGATGCAAAAGTTTATGAACTGTAAGAGGATGGGTTGAGTTATACCCGATTGCCTTAACTTCTTAATGTAAAATGTCAGGCGGATGGCCTTATGGTTTGTTATTGCTTTGCTTATATATATATATATATATATATATATATATATATATTCTGCTATCGGCATTATTGTGTGTGTATGTTATCTTTTTGTTGCCTTTTTTTGTCATACTCCGATTGATTTTTGGCAATGAAGAAAAGTGATTGATCTGTCAACTGTGAAAAATGATTTAAATTTTTGATTTTAGGTATTTAAATTCCAAATCGTTTCAATATTTATCAAAAAGTAATTTCAGTTCAAATTTTGTTTATGTATATTATGTCTTAGTTTCTGCAGCTTTTCTACTTATCTCTGTTAAGACTTAACCTTAATTGTAATATATATATATATATACTCTAATCTCTAATGTCATCATTCAATGATTTGTCTTGTCAGTTATTACTAAAAGTGACTGTTTCTCCGGTCGTAACATCAGTCAAACTCAAGAAAGTCCTTTATCATCATTATAATTATCACGTTTTGCAGTACCCCAGCTTGACGTCTACATTTCTTTGAAGAAGACCTAGTTCTCTGTGCGTCAGTGCAGTCTTTCTATTAATAATGGTTGTGAAACTTAGATTTTTATAAGAAAAATGACCTCTCAAAGTATCTTAGTGTTTAACCTACTGGCGTAAGCTTTAAAAAACTGCCCCTCCCCCACCCTACACACACCACGATGAGATTATTATGCTTATCTTATAGATTTTTTAGATGCAGGATTTTAAAGATAGAATACAAATACACTAATCTACAAAGCTAAGTAAAGAATTAAATAATGTAACTCTTTAAATCATGAAATCGTGAATTTATGTGTTCCTCGTTAAAAAACGCGGGGGTGGGGGGATACTTCAATTGTTTCATCTCTACCTTCCTTAAAAATCATGTTAATTATCTACATTCTTATTGTATGTCTGTGTGTATATTAACTGAACAGTTTCTAATTCCACTTAATGCTTTTACCTGTAATATAAATACAAGTGTACAGCTTGAAAGGGAAATATTTCTTCACTGAAGAAAACTCTGTTTTTCCTTATTGATTTTTATATGTAGTTTGGATCTAGATATGATAATAATCAATAAAAACTTCTAATTTTAACGGTTTTGTAGGGATTTGCATTAATTTCAAATGTAGATGTTGTCGTGAACCAACATCAAATGAGAGAATTATTGGAAACTTGGGTGCAATGGACAGTTGTCTTATTCTTGGTTGGGACTCTTCGATAATGCGCACCCACGACCCCATCAGACAGGGTATCGAAACCGAGGACACTCAGGTTTCGAGACCAGCTCTTTGATCATTCAAGTGAATTCTAACTTCTGTAATTATTATGGCTACTAGATGAATGTTCTGAAGTGCTAATGGAAAGTTGTGGTTAGTGAGATCCATCCCATATCAAGGTGAAGTGGACGCTCAACGCGATAGCACTCGCGGTTGGTTGTGATGGTTCTGTATCACTAAGTGACAGAAGTAGACATTTATTGGTTATTGTGTAACTTGCCTAAATGGCTGAATACCCAATAAGTTGGTCTCGTAACCAGAACTTTGATGGGGAGTCATCGGCCCAATGAAAATTCCCAAACTGGACCGAAACAACAACAAACTAGGACGACACAGCTGTCCAGTACTCTCTGCAGGCTTTCCAGTGGTTCTCTAACTGATGTCAGCTCATAATGAAATCCTCCATGCAATCAAACAAAATCCCTACAAAACCAATACTTGAAACAACAACTATCCATTACTCCTTGGTTTTCAGTGATTCTTTAACTGATATTGATTCCTGACAAAAGTATCCATTAAATTAGAGCTTCCATCTACTTGTTTTGTGTCAGGAAAACTGTAGGTTTATTTTACTAAAGTTTATAGGATAATCGAAATTCCAGGTTAAACACATTAATTCAAGTCACTTAAGATTAGTCTCTGAAGTGCACATGTGTAGTTACACTTTATTTACACTTGAATTTCTATATAAACATATTTCGTTCGTTTTTTTTGTTGTTATTCCTCGATTGATGTCACTGTTTCTAATTCACTAAAATTTCTCATGTTAATTTCGGATCACTCTGTGTGTTATGTTGTATACTATACTATGTGTATTTGAATAAAAAAATCCTGTTAAACTTTCGCATTGTTTAAAACTGATGAATTGATTGTTGTTATTTTTTCTCCTCTCGAGTATTCACCTAAGTAAGGAAAGTTTAACTGTCGAACTTGTCGATAACAGATAAGTTCAATCAATTAATTCAGGTTCCGGATACCATATATACATATTCATTTTTTCTCTCCGTTGAATTGATAATCCAGCTAGTTGTGTAGTGGTAGTATGCAGCCACACCATTCAAATGCAGTAGAATTGTAACGTTAGAAGGCGAAGACTTGATAAAGGAATGTTTATTTGCAACTTGGTATCTCTATATAGCCAAATTATGTACACCTTATCTGCAAATCGTCATTTACACAAATCCTACGTGTTGTGCTACTTCTGATCTTCCTTCATATTGTATTTCTTTGTGTTCCTTTCACGTCCCCCATATATCTCTGCAACGTTGAATCACTTGCTCTCTCTGACGTCAAATCTATTCCTCTACTATTTGATGTTTTTTTGCCGACGAATGTCTCTTGATATACTACTGATAAATCTTATCAGTAGCACACGCCACACTCGTCTCCCTATCAAATAGTTTCTAATGGA